TTTTTCAAGGTCTACAGCTCATATTATTTTCAATTATGACCTCCTTGGGTTTTTGCAGAACACCAGATGAGAATGGGTTATGCCCTTAATACATAAAATGTGTATGTGTGTATGTATGAATGAATGAAATAGCTTGCAAGTTCCTTCTTGGTCTGAGAAGTGACTGGTCAAATTCAGCTGGCTTTGCGCTGAAGCACGAGTAGAACTCACTAATTCCTGGTCTCCAGCTTGATGCCATAACCACAACCCCAAACTGGCAGACGCAGGTGTACTTATAAGCTTCTTGATGAACTTTGTAGGCATGCAGTCCAATTCCGTGTACAGGATGTTCATTTAGAACTCTGTTTTGCTAAATTCCATGGATTTTATCCTTGAAATTAGTGCATATAAGATTGGGATCTTAGACAAGCTGCAGGTTTGTTTTAGCTAGAATCCAGGTGTGGGTTTATTCAGAGCTGAGAGTAACTTCCTGAGTCCGATTTCACAGCAGAACCTGCATGACAAATATAAATAACAAGTATAAATTCATCACTGATGCAGTTGCATGCATGAATTATTTAGAAACAGCTTCCAGAATATTGGCAGCTAAATGAACCTCTTGAAAATTTGCCAGACCACGCTTAAAAATAATTTGTTGAAACCAAAGGATCAAGGGAGAAAGCAAGATTTAGCACAGCAAAAAAGAAACATAGATTTGTTTATTAGATTTCAAGGCCATCTGATTCCAAAGTATATTGGGTGGCTTAAATGTTGAAAATAACAAATAATTTAAGAAGGACAGCTGCCCAAACAAAATCACATAAACAGCATCCAGTAAAGAGGCTCTATAAACATTCTAACTTCAGGCCTTGGAATAAATCCAGATCTTAAGAGACTTCCAGAACATTTGAAGAGTGGGAAACATGATCCATATTTTGGGAAGGATGCTGTTCCAGGTCAGGAGGCTATGGCAGAAATTGTACATTTCCAAAGCCCAAGATTTAAATCCAACTGCATTTATGTGATGTGTATTTAATTGAGCAAATAACCAGGGTGTTGGCCACGAAGAGCTTTATAGGTGATGAATAACACCTTAAATTCCACTCACAAACCAACTAGTATGGTAAGCATCACAGCTTGTGAAGTTGCAATGACATATGAAGGTAATGAGGAGAATCTATTAGTGCCCATGCCACTGTATTTTGACCCAGCTGTGACTTCTGAGTGGCCTTCACTCACATACAGCAAATTGCAGTTGTTCAATTTAGAGGACTTAGTGAAGGGTTTAGCGCCAGTAAAGGAAATAAAATAATGTTATAGTTTTCAGATACAGGCAGCAGACAAAATCTTGTTATAATTTACCTACCTTCTAGAACAATGTCTAATTTAGAAAACAATCTATTTCTAGGACTTTTATATGTGTATAAGCTATAGAAAATATATTTCTATATCTATACTTCCAAAGATAAAATATGCAAACTCTGATATTCCTTGTGATGCTCAATAAAAGCAAATGTTGGACTTTGAAGAAGCAGGCTAGGAAGAATATTGAAGCTCTTGAACATTGGTGTTGGAAAAGACTATTGAGAATACCACTCAGCACAAATGACCAGACTCAAATTAGCCTACTTTAGGATACATTATGCAAAGACCTAGCTCTCTGGACAAGTTTCTAATGCTTGGAATGGTGGAAGGAAGAAGAGGAATAACAACAAGGTGGATGGGCTCAGTGACAGTGGTCATAGATGCACAGTTGTAAGATCTGAAAGACTATGATTGGAATAGATTATCATGAAGAAAATTGTTGCTGAGTCAACATCAAATTGATGGTAGATCATCAACCTCTAAGACAAAATATTAACTGCTTTCTATAGAATGTTGCTAATTTGTACACCATTGTTGCTTATATGAAAAACAAATTTGCAGGAGCAGAATATCCTTCTAGACCAGGCCATAGTACATATTGGTTTAGCATTTTGCTTCACATGAAAGCCAGTAAAAAATCCTAGGGTGCTTACAAGCAGAGGGTGGAGATACCTCCTTCCTCTGTTACCCTAGCATTTGGTATTTGGAAGAATACCTCCCCTAACCTGGAAGTCACTTGCAGTCTTCAAGGTTAATAAATATATTGTAAAAAACCAGACTTGTTTTAGGAGAAGCCTGTTTCAGTATTTTGGCAGGCAGCCATAGACTAAGTGCTACAAGGCTCTCCAGACACCTTGTGCTATTTAGATGATATCATCGCTGAAGTGCATCTGCAAAATTTTGAGGGAGTGTTGCAGAGAATGACTACAGTATAACTTTTGAATGTGATGCAATAAATGCAATAGTAACTGGTCACACCATTGATTTACAAAGTCTACACAAGTGAACAGCGAACATTCGAACAATAGAATATATGTAGATCAGGGTTGTGGAGTTCATGGTGCTCTCCAAGCTTGTTTGCTTGCTTGCTGACATTTTATTACCCAACTTGTAACACCATATTGAGTGTAGAATTTGCTCCCGGTTTATACACAGTATAATAGCTTGCCCTGCCATTTTTGTTGGGGGTATGGTTTTCTCCAACGATATTGCTTATCTGGGTAATGAAATGTCTGTAACTAAGCTCAAAGAGTACCAAGGACAATTCAAACAGCTCTAAATGCTCCCAAGTCACAAGATGTGTCCTAAACCGTTTAGGAATCATTAATCACACCAAATTCCTGCCAGATGTTAGCTGCTCAAGAAGACTACCCAAAATGGTTAGTTTATAGCAAAAATCCATTTATAGTTTTATTGTTGTCACAATGAGCTTACATTTGGTAGCAATTGTATTATGTGGTTACTGAAAATCATAGCATAGTTCAAACTTGGAGATTGAGTATTAGGTTACATGTTAGATACCTCAGTGGTAATGATACTTGTTTGTAATTTTATCTGTTGACTATAGACCAACAAATCAAACAGCTAGCAAAAAGTTGCTTAATTTGCCAACTTGCCTAAATATCCACTTAAAATATCACAATTTATCCTTAGGAATGGCCTGCTTTGCCATTGCAAAATATTCATATAACTTTTGTAGGGCCCTTTATGGGCACAAACTTTTTAATTATGAAGGAGGAATGTTCAAATAGACCATAGAGTTTTTTCTTCAACAAGTTACTTATACTATAGAGATCTCTTTGGTAGGACGATTGTGATAAAACAATTAGTCACAAGGGATCTTAGCTTTTTTTTGTAGCTGAACTGTTTCAGACATTCCTGAAAAGAATGAGCATCCTGTTGCCAGCTACAAAACCATTAGGTGAAAAGTTTGCTCGAAGTTTCAAGAATAGTTTGGAGTAATTTTTGGAGAAAACATCACAGTGAAGTTTATGATCAATCTGACTGGTGTTATTTGTTGGTATTTCTCTTTGGAGCATTTATAGAAAGCAGGTACTGTTAAACTTTCATTACTCCTAAGGCGAATCATCTGATGCCTGGATCCACCCAAATGTCACCAGACATATTGTTGTTTTGTATTTGGTTATTCCTTGGGTCTGAGTTTCTTCACTGGAACAAGAAATAAATCATGACATTAATGGCTGTCAAAAAAAATGATGTAGCCTGCTTTGAAAAGCTCAGCAACCATTTAACATTATTGGCCATCCAAAGATATTTGTGGAAGCAACCTGGTTGGGTAACATTATCAGCTCACAAGATTGCTACGAAGACAAGTTGAAGGTGGTACATCAAGCTCCTTGGAAAAAAGATGCATACATATTAATGAATTGATCTAATGACTACAAGAGCAAATTAATTAAGACTGAATCAAATTATAAATTCATCTACAAAAATATGATTGGGTTCCATCTATTGTATGATTCCTTTCATTTCCCACTTTACTTTCCCAGAGAAAGTAAAAAGTCACACTGAGCTATAATTTCAGGATGATTGTTAGATTTTTGAATAATCTTAAAACTTCAAACCCTGAATCCAATCATGGATTACTTACCAGGCACATATTTGAAATTACAAATAAGGAGGCAGACTATGATGCTAGCCACAGTGCCCCAATTAAAAATGTTCTGAGACTCTACATAAGATCCCAAAGCCTACAACCAGGCTGCTGTCTGAAGACCATGATTATGCAAAGGCTATGGCATGATTTATCCCTGTTATTTTACCATGAAGCCTTCAATTCCCAGCCTTGCACTTTATAGGGCAATTCCCACCTTTTATCTAGCCTTTTAGTTCTCACAAGAAGTTTCACATTGTTAAGAGATTAAGCTTTGTCAAGGGGGTTTTATGATGACTTCCTGGTGCCTATTGAAAGTCTGGGGCTTAGACAAGAGAATATAAAAGCCTCTTAATGTCTTCTCAGAATAGGCTGTTTTCAGGAAGGTCTGCAAAATCTGTCAAGAGCACTTTTTCCATCTCATTCTTTGCTACTGGATAGGTCAAACAATCCTGGCAGCATAAAGAACAATAGAAATTAAAGCAAAATGGAATCCAGGCACAATGTACAGATAGAAATACATACATACACACACACATCCATCTCATCCTGAGGTCCAGAACTGAGTCTCCAAGGCTTTACAGAATGCCAATAGGGTGGGAACCACATCGATCTAATCTAAATCTAATCTAATCTGCTAAAGGGCAGATGGAGCAATAATGTAGGCTAGCCTCTGTGTATTAGTGGTACTTTCCTAACTCAAATATTCCAAATCACAGAATGTCTATTCCTAAGTAGTGGCATAGCTAAAAAATTGGAAAATATTTCTTCTGATATAACAATTTTTAACTAGCGCAGTTCTTGTGATTGCCAATGCAATGTTACTTTTTTAAATCTAAAGTAGTAGTTAGAAAATAGAAAAGTTCAAGAAATAGATTCCTACCTTTTTTTTCAATTTGAAAGTCAGTTAGAAACAATCAGCTTTCTAAAATATTCAGATGCATAAAACACTGAGTTACATGATTTTAGAACTTTGAATGTAAGAAAAATCATAAAATATATCCTAAATCACCAGCAAACACTTGAGTAGAGAATTGACATTTATTCTACAGTTTTTATCAATGCCAGTGATACAAGTTATATAATTTTCTGTTAAATATAAGTTCAGATTTAAATGCTTGTATGGTTAGCAAAAGACATTTCACGGTTAATATTCAAATCATTTATCTATTTTAGACCATGCTTCAGCAGAAATGGAATCAGCAAGTCAGATAGCAAATGTAGAAAAGAGCTGTTCATAAATCGAATGACAAATAGTTGCTGTTGCCACCTTCTGGTAGAATAATCTAATGGTTCTTATTTGTTGAATAATATAGATAAAAATTTAATATTTTTGCAACTGTAGTTATTCTTCAAAGCCTATACATTTAAATAAAAGACCAGGAAGGTTGTACATATTTTGCTAAATGACTATAAATCTAGTTATCTGCCTAAACAGGTTTTGATTAAACCCACATAGTTTGCATCATTTAATTATTGCTCAAAGATATATCAGTGCAAATGTATGTCTTCACAGATCTAATATGATCTAGAATATGTTGGTAAAAGTCAATCTAGCTCTCAACCTCCATCAAAACACTTTTGCTTTAGAATCTGTTTCAACTTGCTTTTTGTTGCAGAGGTAATGTTTGAGATTTGTGTGTAAAATCTGTAATTGGGGCATAATGACAAGGACACCAGAAATTAACTTATCCAAATAAATTTAAGTAATCATATACTATTAGAATCATATTTCAGCAAGATGATATTCCCATAGCAGCATCAATTCTTTATTTTTCATGATTAATTCCAGCTTTTCACAAATCAATTTAACTGGGGCAACTGAAGTAAAATACAAAGGAACTTTTTTTTGAAAGGACAAGTGGATGCAAGTATCATTTTGTAGTACATACCATGCAGCTTCTCTGAAAACAAAAGTAGTATCAAATTCAAAGTTGATACCTTACATCTCTATCCCATAGTATAGAATAGTAGCTGCTTAAAGTTTTACTTGTTGCAATGAATCAACATCACTGGCATAAACCGAGAGCATGTATATAAGTACATGCTCTTATATAAGGAGTAACTCTTGCAGCTCACAAACTGATCAGTGCTACAGTGTATAGAGATGAGGTAGCAACCCCCCATGTCAATCCACTGTAAATTAGTAATACAACTCTAGTATTCTTTGATGGAGAGGGGCATGAATATAACAGAAGGGTCCCACATTTCCAACATCTGCCAGTAAAATTGTTTATGCAATCAAAAGCCTCTGGCTCATCATTTCAACACATCTTATTACATATAAGCTAAGCCATTTGCTTGGTCCAAGAATGAAGTGTTAATGAGGAAGACATTAAGACAACAAATATAAGGAGTCTGACTCCACAGATTATGCAAAACAAGTTTACTTTTGCTTCAGTAAGTCAAGTATTTAATACACGGCAGGTACATTTTAGGTAAGAGTGAACTGCCTCTCTTTTGTATCTAAATGTTGTAAGGATTCCCAATATATTTAAAGATATGGGATATTCACTCTTCAATGATTATCTAGTCGCCAAATACAGCGCTAACAGTCATCAGGAAAGAACTGAAGAAAGCACATTTAAGATTGTTTTTGTGAAAAGTATAAAAGTTATTATTTTTGTAAGTGTTTACACTTACATTAAAAATGACTTTCTCACTTCCAAATGAAGCTAAAAAAAATGTAATAGCACACACTCACATTCCAAAGAAAACATGCAAACAATGGCTGGTGAAAATTCTGCATAAAATTCTGCACTGCCTGCAAGTATGTCTCCTTCAAACACTAAGTATTTCTGTGCATTGACTGATTTTATAAGGAAACCATGACAAAAACTTGTCCTCTTGCCTCTAAGTTCCTTAAGAACTTGAAACAGTTAATCCGTGTAAAATTTTAAACTTGTTTCTAAAAGTACAAACAGAAATCAATAAAACGCTAGGAGACAGCATTAACAGAAATGTTAAGTTCTACCCTGTGCCATACATTTTAAAAAATTAGGTGAACGACCTTGGAGTTTATTAATACACATCTCTTTAAAGTTTTTATTTCAGAAAGCAGCTCTTATGAAAATCAAAAGCAGTTCCTGAGTAACTGCAGTAAACAGTGTCTTTGTGTGTGTATGTGTTTGTGTGTGTGTGTATTTGCCACTTGGCTTTTCCGATTTGGTTCCTTTAAACTCCTTTGTTTTCAAGTTTAACCTCTGTTCTCTTTGCAAAAGGTGCAAGCTCAGTTAGCATCATTTTAAAGGGTCCTTATGATGCTGGCATCCCCTGCAATTTCTGTAAGATCTACACACAGTTAGTAGTTGTGCTCCTACAGCTATTGCAAACTTGTCCCGTTGGAAACACTGTGGTCTTCACGTTTTTTTAAACATACGTCGGGACTGCCATGTATGGAATTTATTGTAGGCTGTTTGAAGCATCTCTTCTATGTGATTTACCAGCTGAAAAGAAAATAGAAACTTTATTACAAAAAGAAATGCTGCTACTACAAAAGAATGTGCCACAATGAATAAGCAACATTAAGAAATATATAAAGGTAGATTTGAAGACTTTTCTCTACCAACCTACGATTTTTACTATTTTAGCCATTTTAAAGCCATACAGTATATTTTCACTGCCTAACAACTGCATATAATATGAAGACACTTCTTAAAATAGTAGGAAAGGGAACCATATTTATTTTCAACCTATATCAAACACCTCTCTCTTGAGGGACAATGGATAGATCAAAATCGCCCCCAGACAATCTACAGAAAACTACCCAATAATAAGTGGATACCAGTCATCTAAATTTCAATAGGAAATTTTAGAAATGAAAGGTATAATTATCTTATATCTAATTATAATAATTATAGAAATGTTCCTATGACTCTATAGTGATTATTCACTCTAGAAACACTTATTCAATTAAAAGCTTCCAAACCTATAAAGTCTCACTAATTTAGCCATTTTATTTTCTAATAACCATTAAGATTGGCTGATTTATTTATGAACAAAGCAATTTACTAATCTTATACATGTTAAAGAAAAGAATGGCTTTTTCTTACATTTGTGCTTAAATACTGCTTTCGAAGTTTCTCTTGGAATGGGCAGAGTTTTGTAACTTGAAATCTTTCCAAATTACTCCGCATTTTTATAACCTGAAAGGAGATAGAAAAAATAATCACATGGGTCTCTTTGGTTTAAATCACTCAGTTCCTTCAAAAATAATATCTATGAATCTAACAGATACATTTTAATAAGTATCATGGGTATCCAATCAAACAAAGCTGTGTGTTGTTCTGTGCATAGAACAAAAATGTTATAGTCTGAAAGTTCCAGGTTGGTAGGTGAGTTGTGGTTCAGCCAAATCAAAGCCTGGAAATCTTGGTGGTTCCAGGTTTGAGGTGAGCCAAATCTGGAGAGGTCTTATATGGGGAATAGGGGACGGCTGGCTCACCCTGTTCCCTTCTCTTTTCTCTGCACGGTTTAGATCAGCGGTTCTCAACCTATGGGTCGCGACCCCATTTGGGGTCGATCGACCATTTCACGGGGGTCACCAAGCAAGGCTGTCCGCCATTTTTTTCCCCTTTTCCGGCGGGTGCCTTACCTCCCTTGAGCTGGGCCAGCTGGTGGTTGGCCTGCTCCGTCTCTGCCGCTTGCCAGCTACGCCTCGGCCGGCGCAGGGGGCGGAACCACGCATGCGCGGCACTCCCGGGCAGGGAAAGTCCTCAACTTACGACCGGTTGGGTAGTCCTCGACTTACGACCGGTTTAGTCCTCGACTTACGACCGGTTGGGGGGTCGCGGCATTAAAAAGGTTGAGAACCACTGGTTTAGATGCACAATGTTAACTTGAGCTTCCTGCTCTTCCCTTCCCATGTCTGCTTTCTCCATTTTGCGTGCTCAGTCAGCTCCCTCATCCCCCTTTCCCACACTTAGAAAAGTTAGAAATCTCTTCAATTGCTGTCTTTTTCAGGGATCTTTGTTTTTCCTGCTTACTCTAGAACACCACTGCCTACTCCAGGTCCATGTTGGGATGAAACGTAACCCATGCATATATTGCTTTGCCATACCTAATATTGCATTGCACTTGGTCTACATTGTATATACAGTCCAGGCTTTGTGTCCAATTAAGATAAAATAATTTCTGTAACATATTGCACTCCAATTTTGAAACTTTTGCAATGTAAGCAAGGAACAGCAACTAGAAAATGTGACCAAAAAGCTAGAAAATTATTAAATTTACCCCCAATACAAAGTTTCTCTTCAGCGCAAACAGCCATACATATCAATGCCCATATGCTCTGTAATATTTTTTATATAATTTATTATAAGGGGCATGTTTGTTTTTAAATTAACTGCTGCCATTATGAAACACTGATTAATCTTAATGCAGATTCTTCTTACTTTTTCTTCCAGGAATGGTGTATTAACAGGAAAACAGGACCAGAAGTGTCGTAGTAACTCTCCCACTGCAACATATAAGTGCTTCAGTTCAGACTGAACATCATTTGGCAACATCTCTACAATTAACATAAAGGAAGGAAGCACAGAGTCATAAAAGGTCTGTCATATGTATTAACAAGATCTCAAAAAATTTAGCTCTCAGGTTAACAGTGCCATTTAAGATCTTCTTTCCATGGACACTGAGTTTCTTTCAGGTCACAAAAAGCTTTTGATTCAGCAAATGGTTTCCAGTGGAAGAAAGAAGGTTACCACCAATTTACTCTGCTCTGTAGGATACACAGCAAGAATCGCAAGACAAAGGAAGGACTTGGCGAAAAGCACTACTATCCCCATCAGCTAGAGGGAAATTTTCCCCGGGTAGAAATAAGTGCTGGCTTGAAGTCCATATTGTATACATCTTGACTAGATGATACTCTATATGAAGAGAAACTAGTTATGGGGTGGCTCTGAAATTATTTTGGGTATGCTGAAGTAAGTGTGGAGGATTATGTAATAAGGAATGCTTGAAAATTTAAATTTGCTCTCAGTGCCGCAGATTAGAAACTGGAGGAATAGCAAATGATTTTAAATGTGGTCAACGCTTAAACTAAAGTTAGACTGTATAACGATGCATTTTAATTCTCATTTTACTCTTTCCAACCCAAGAGAATGTTTAAAAATACTATATGAACAGATTTGGTATTCTGCTCATCACTCTTAAGAGTGGAGTTACTTTTAAGAATTTGGAAACAAATTTCAGAAGTCCTGTTCTGAGTATTTTCCCAACTTTGTTTGAAGAGACCGATTTATCAACTGTACTGACATGACCATCTGAGTTGATTTTGCAAATTGATTAGCCACAAATAAGCCAAGATATCAAGTTCTTACGATTTATGGCTTGCTGTGTTCCACCCTGCATAAGTGCTCCTCCAGGTGACAGGGCTGAGATAGTACTACTGGCAGCACCACTTGAGAGAACCTGGAAGGATAGTTAAAAAAAAAAAATCAGTTAGTTTTGTATTACAACAAAACCAAAAAAGTTGACCATGGAGCTTGAATCATAAGAGCTGTGATAGTTATTATACTACTAAAGTGGCAGGGTTTTTTTGTACCTACAAATACTAGAGCTAGAATACCTCATCTCTTAATTATTGCCAAGTTATTTTTCAATATAATCAATTAAAACATAAGGCATAACTAAAATCCATCAAATTAAAAGCAAACGTTAATCTGTCTGATACGAGAACCTAGCCTGGTGCCTTAACCATTAGACCAAGCTGGCTTTCTGTAGTGAAACTTGTTGAGACTGTTATCAATAAAATATGTGTACTAATGGCGAATAAATAAATAAGTAAAAATAGGTTATACAGTATGTGTAACTACAGGAATCTCGACAGTAACAGTTCCTCTAGCCTGCAAGCCAAGTACCCCATGCTTGTTGAAAATAATTCTGAAACCATTTCACATTCCCTCCAGTCATGTATATAAATAAGCAGTTTCAAGCAATACCTCAAAGAATAGGGTACTGAAGAATACCCTAAGGATACTGTTTTGAGTGCTTTTCTTTTATCCTACCTGAGTTAATTTGGGTACATAGCCTTCCATTTCGTCTCTAATACTACACAAAGAATTAATAATATCATGGCTCGTTGCATATTGCTGTGACTGAATTGGTGTTGGACCATGGTAATACCTGTTGAATAGAAAAGAGGTTATAATTAACATTCTGAGAATAAAAGATTAATTTTCAGTTTTTTCAGATTATTTTTAAGACTTTAGTATCCTAAAAATGGGACAGATGATTCAGAAAACTATGGACGTATTAGCTCATTTAGCACAGACAGTATATTCTATGCCAGATATCTGTACTGGAACCAAATAATTGCCTGGCATTAGAAAACATCCTAGTGGAAGAACAGGCTGGCTCAGGGAGCATTGATTCATTGTTGACTGTTTCCTAGTGCTTCAGCATTGAGAAATTGTCCACTTCTTCAGGGCTTCTGTATATAGTACTTCTAGATTCTACATCTGCACTTTTCCACCTCTCAGGCCAAATTGTGGGAAAAAATGGAAGCCTCTTCAATCAACCTCTCTCTTGCACCTTCTTGAAAATGTGATGCAGGCCATTTCTGTCTCAACTCAGACAGGGCGGCAAAACTGCAGATAATGATAAAACTTTTATCATAAATCCCATAATGGGCTGCTTAGAACTTGGATTTTCACCTCTCATCACTAAATTGATTGAGAAATGTATTGCCTTATGCAGACAATATAGTATAGGTCAGTGGTGGCAAACCTATGGCACAAGTGCCAGAGGCGGCACTCGGAGCCTTCTCTGTGGGCATGCATGCCGTTGCCCCAGCCCTGCTCCCATGGCCCCCTCCTCACCAGCAGCCCCCCCCAGAGGAGAGTCGCCCCTGGGTATGGCCCGCATGGAGCAGCGCAGCCAAACACATGGCAGCTGGGCAGCAGGGACAAAACTCCACCCTCATACCCCATTGCATGCAGATGATGCTGTGGGGCGCGGGCGGAGGGTGTGGCCAACATGGTGCTGCAGGGCCGCCTGGGTGATCTCCAGCGGGCTGTGGAGGTGATGGGTGGCCCTGCGGGTGGTGGGGGGGCAGAGCAGGGTGGGGGTGGAGTGGGGCGGGCCAGGGCGGTTTTTGGGCACTCGGTCTCTAAAAGGTTCGCTATCACTGGTATAGGTAGTCCTCAACTTACAACACTTCGTTTAGTGACTGTTCAAATTACAACGGCACTGAAAAAAGCAACATATGACCATTTTTTACACTCGTGACCGTTGCAGCATCCCCATGGTCATGTGATCAAAATTCAGACACTTGGAAACTGACTCATGACCACTGCAGTATCCCTGGGTCATGTGATCATCTTAAGCAAAGTCAATGGGGAAGCCAGATTCATTTAACTATGTTACTAACAACAACTCAAGTGATTCACTTAATAACTGGCAAGAAAGATCGTAAAATGGGGCAACCAAGAGATTGTGAGTTCTAATCCCACTTTAACCATGACAGCCAGCTGGGTGACTTTGGGCCGGTCCCTCTCTCTGAATCCAACCCACCTCTCAGGGTGGTTGTTGTGGGAAAATAAGAGCAGGAAAGGGACATTAGGTATGTTTGCCATCTTGAGTTATTGATAAAATAAAGAAGATGAGGAATAAATAAACACATGCATAAATTTTAACATTTCTCTCCTTTTAGACTAATTTGTAAGTCAGCCAACTTTATTTTACTACACATACAGTAATAAGTTAAGACACTCCAAAATGACTTTATAATCCTGGCTGGTCCATTGTTTTCTTACAGATGTATTAGCATTTTCTGACTCAAAATTATGGAAACCTTTACTAAAGGAGGTTGCAAAGATCACTGTATGCTGTCTTTAATTTCCATTCTTCTTCTGATACACAAATAGATAAATACACATAAGAAATTGTCTTCTCCACTGCAAGGTATATCAAGGGCTATAGCAAACTTTTATCATGAAAATTACTCAGATGTAAATCCTCTTTTTGGGGAATTTACTACCCATTTTTATATAGGCAAGGGGATTTTTTTCCAGATTTCTTTTTTCTTATGTGTCTCTTCCACTGCAAGGTATCAAAGGTTATATCAATTTTCACAGACAATATTTAGTGCACTATTATCACGACTCTTTTACAGCCTATTTTGTCTGTTAAATTATAACTGTAAATACGTGATTTTATCCTTATTTCAAGGGCAGCAATTATAAGAGAAATATGTTTATCTTGTCAAGGTGTTTTCTTTGAGATGCTCAAAAGACACCAATGCACACAACAAATTTTGCAAATAATATTTTGCTAAAAATAACACAATGTACAAAACCTACCTATCTGATTTTTTTAGATTTAGTGCAATAGTTTTAATGCTGTTGTTGTTTTCTAAATCTTCATATTCAATAGATTCTTGCAGCTTTACCTACAAGAGATGACATAATCAGAGCTCTGTAAAACCTAGCATGAGAAACAAGGTTTGCATTATTAAAAAAGGATAAATCTGCATGATATTCTTACCTTTTTTACTGGTGGCTGAAAGATATCTGAATCTCTAGAGTTTCCATCCATACTGTTGGTCTCACTATAGTGATCATTTTGTGCTTCTCTGAAAACAAAAAGGTACTTACAATTGCTTTGTCTCTGAATATGTGACACATATTTAAGTAAATCGGCACAATGAACGAATAAAACCCATTCATTTTTGAATAAAAGCAGAAAACATCTCTACTTGTAAAATGGGAAAGTTGGGTAAGTGAAGGATTTGTTTTGTTCTAGTTAAGAGCTTTTTAAGCTTCATGGGGTGCCATTCCAGAATATTCACTGACCCTGGGAAGAAGGGAGCGTGTCTGAAATGCCTCTATGCACATTTTATATCCACAGGAGGAGATGGAAAAGAACACATTCATGCAGAACAAAAATGTGCGGTAAGAACAAGAGCTATAAATTATCCTCCAACATTTACTCTAAAATCAACTCCTAGCTCTCTTGGCCAAACACTGCGTTTCCTTTAAAGAACACAACACACTTCACAAAGTTTGAATTAGTTTTATACAATGCTTTAAAGCAGACATGTCAAACACAAGGCCTGGGGGCCGGATGCGGCCCGTGAAGTGGTTTCATGTGGCCCGCGAAGCCACCCTGGAAACAGTGAGGGAACGGCCCCCACTGCCTTGGCCCTGGCCGGCCGGGAGCCAATGTACAATTTTGTGGTGGCCATCTATGCTGAAACGCATTCAGTCTTAGCTCCACAAGGCCATCTAGAAACAGCGAGGAACCAGCCCGCTGTGTCAGCCCCGCCCCCTGGGTGCATGCTGGGGAGGTGTCACCCTTTGTGAGGAATGAAGAAATGGACCATGCCTTGGTGCTTGCCCCGGTCCCACCCCCTTCTGCCAGAGACCCTCAGATCTGTCCCACTCCTGCCCAGGCCCCCACAGGCACCCTTGACGCAAACGATGTAGAGCTGGCCATGCCCACCCAGTAGGCCACACCCACTCCATCCATGCCCACCTAGTAGGCCACACCCACCCTGGCTACACCCACCTGCCCCCCCCCAAGGGCAACCACAATGCTGATGCAGCATTCAATGAAATTGAGTTTGACACCCCTGCTTTAAAGGGTTACATTTCGAAGATCAAACAAATGTGATTTTTCCCTTAGACTCCTGTTTTAGCCAAAGGCATCGTTCCAATTTATGCATAAGCCTGACTGTCTTATACATATTTAACTTGTACATCCTTCTGTCCCTAGCAAAATGTCAAAAGAAAATACCAAGCAATCCAGAGCTAAACAATACTTGTCTGACAGCATGTGACATACTTATTTTAGATATGAATAAGCAGATTTAGATCTTTGGTGCCTGGATCAGCAAATGCCTGGTCTGATTTGAATTACATGAAGCAAAGAATGATGGGATTACCAAGGCAATGCTCTTTGTTTATATAGCTTATAAGCCATCAGGAATCATTTGATTGCAATGGGGTAAAAGTGTTATATTTTCTGAGATATTTCCTATGTGATAGAATTCATATATAGAGGAATATTTATGGGAGAAATATAATGCAGTTACACAATCCTCCAACTGCAAATTGAAATGCTAAAGTTGAGCAATAGTTTTACTTTTACGATTTTTGAAATATTTTCATAAGTTTAAAAAGTTTAAGCATAGATAAAATAATTTTTAATTAAATTAAATTATTTTAGTTATATTAGCAACATTATAATAACTGTATGGCAGGTTTTGAAAAGGGATGTCTTACATGTTTAATCAATAAAAATAATTTGCAAGTATATGCATGACTAAATGCTAGAGGGTTTTTTTTCTCATTCCTTTCTTACTACGGGATTGATCCTTCCCCTTGTGCTTTCAAATTTTCTCTGGAAAATCTTCCCTAATCTTCCGTATTTGAGGGGTGTTTATTTGAGAGGTGTTTGGAGAAGAAACAACAATGATTTTCAAATGACAATTTAAGGTGTGAGCTGTTTCCCCCCCCCCCAATTATATCATAATAAGTATGCCACAGTTTAAAACTACATTATTCAATCATTGCTCAGGAGGTTTCATGACAATACAAAGGCAGAAAATTCCCAGCCTCAGAGTCCTCATATCTAGATTTGTTCTGTGCCGAGACTTACGGTTTTCTGAGCCCAGCTGCAAGGACCATGGCACTATGATGGTTAAAGCGTTTTATAATAGCTGCGTTGCTACTTTCCTTTATTGATTTTGTAGAGTTGGATGTGGATGGTGCCAAGGAAATACCGTAACCCTGTCACAAAGAAATAAGCAAACCCTAAAAGATATGTTGACTCATGACAGGTGAAGACCTAATTATAATATGGGCTGTACCCATGTAAACTTGACAGTTTTCACAGGAATTCATTTTTTCTGCCTTGAACAAAGATCAAGCTGAAACAATAGATCAAGCTGAAACAATATCAACAGCACTATTTAAAAGCGTATATGATTATGAAAAAAAAATCCAGTTCTAAAGTTCCTATCTACTACACCTTTTCTATTTATGTGCAATTAAAGCCAAGTTTTCTTAAGTGATATATTATTTATTATTATTCAAAATTGCTCAGCGAGAAATGTTTTTCTGAAGCTATCAAACTGCTTTTAAACTAGTGAGATTCATTTAGATCACAGATGTCAAACTCGCCACGTCACTTTGACGTGTCGTGACGTATCGCGACTCTTTTTGCATTGCCAGCAATGGGGTGGGCGGGGCTTCGGTATGATGAAACCGGCCCGCGGGCCGACAGTTTGACACCCCTGATTTAGATGTTGCAATAAAATTAATGAGAAATGTGAATATCGTTCTTATAAAAATGAAACATAAGCCAATTTGGGTTTTACTTACACTGATGCATAACATTTTCTTTGGATCAGCAGTATGTTATAAATTTACCTAATCAAGGCCTTCTAACAACCGGTATCTTTTAAAGATCCATGCTTGAATAAGATAATGTGTGATACACACTCAGATCAAATCTAGCATATGTTGGAAAAAGCCCACAGAGTTTCACTGCAAATTCTCCAATGAGCAACTGAGAAGTGAGTGAATATCCCCACAAAATGTAAAGATAATTTCATCTATTTTTGAGGATCCAAATGGATAAGGAAGGCTATCATTTACGAAAGAAGAAAAAATACATTTGTCATGGCTAAATTAATTATGAATCTTTTGGAGTAACCTTTCTGCTTACCCTCAGTATAGAATTTATGTTATATTTTCAAATCACCTCTACTTACTTCATCCAATGATTTATCTTCCAAGGCAGTTAAATCTAATAAAGGATTTTTCACTCCTTGACAGACCATTGCTTTTAACCCTATGAAAAAAATGAACCAAATTTAAGTTGGGTCAGATAGATAAGGACAAACTATTTGAAAGCCTTAAGAAGCACACGGCATTGCCTTGTTCCAACATACCCTTTTCAAGGTCTAGCTTAATAATATTGTCAGGAAATGGTTCCCCAGAGTCTCAGGGAACTTTTGCAATTCTATTTAAACATTAGAGATTGAACATTAGGGATCAAAAAAATAGGGGGTTTATTATTAAGCTATGGCCCCTCGCATATAATACCAAAACTTTCCACAGATATTATTACAAGTGGTACTTGACTTACAATCACAATTGAGACCAGGATTACCACTGCTAAGCAAAGCAGTTGTTAAGTCAGTCATGCCCAATTTTACCATTTTTGTCATGTTTGCTAAGCAAATCGCTGCAGTCGCCGAGTGTGGTGGTTAAAGTGAGTCAGGTTTTCCCCATTGACTTTGCTTGCTGGAAGCTGGCTGGAAAGGTCTCAAGTGGTGATCACAATGATTATGGAGACACTGCAATCATTGTAAATATATGCCAGGTGCCAAGCTCCTGTATTCTGATCACATGACTGTGGGGATGCTGAGACGGTCATAAGTGCAAAGAACAGCTGAAAATCATTTCTTTGGTGCCACTGTAATTTTGGTCACTAAACAAATGGCTATAAGCCGAGAACTACCTGTATTCTAAGAGGTTATTGGCAAATATAGGTCACAGGAACAACTGTCATAGTATTAGTATTCCATGAATAATTTAGAATTATTCATGGAGTACTATTTCATAATGGTTTATGATATTATAATATACTTAACGTTAAATACTAGGGAGAATCCACTGATGTATTTCTGAGTGGCAGAAATGGTTATGTTCATGGAAACACAGAGATTTTTCCTCATGCCTGCATCCCAACTCTCACATGAAACAATCAACTGTGAATAACCAAGAATAGAAGGAGATGATTCGAATATTCTCCACCCAGACCCGTGAGAGGATGGAAGCAGCAATATGCCATTCTCGTCATGACAGACTACAGTCCATCATACATGCAAACTGGACCAGTGTTTTGTAGACAACTCTAGCGATTAATGCCTCAGGCTAGAAATCAAGAGATTGTGAGTTCTAATCCCACCTTAACCATGACAGCCAGTTGAGTGACTTTCGGCCAGTCAGTCTCTCTTAGTCCAACCCACCTCTCAGGGTGGTGGTCGTGGGGAAAATAAAGAGGAAGGGGCATTAGGTGTGTTTGCCATCTTGGGTTATTGATAAAATAAAGAAGATGGGACATAAATAAATACATGCATAAATTTTAAAGTTTCTCTCCTTTTTGGACTAATTTGTAAGTCAACCAACTTTGCTTTATTACACGTAATACAGTTAAGACACTCCAAAATGAGTTTATAATTTTGACTGTCCATTGTTTTCTTACAGGTGTATTAGCATTTTCTGACTCAAAATTATGGAAACCTTTTCTGAAGGAGGTTGCAAAGATCATTGTATGCTGTCTTTAATTTCCATTCTTCTTCTGATACACAAATAGATAAATAGACATAAAACAAAAGAAATCTGGGAAAAAAATTATCCTTGCCTATATAAAAATGGGCAGTGAATATCACTAAAATCAGGATTTACATCTGAGTAATTTCCATTATAAAACTGAACTCTTGGTGACTTCATAGAACCTACTCACTTGCTTCTAAAGAAGCTGCACATATGTATTTCTAAAGTCTCATACTACATATAGTTTAGTTCTTTTACAATTAATACAGCTAGCTAGAACTACCACAATGCTCATACACATACCCTTTTCATCCATTTTGGCACATTCTGCAAAAAGGTCCTTTGATCCTGCATTCAATCTATCTCTATGGAAATAGTGAGACTGGAAGAATCGAGTCCAGAATTCTTTTTCTGTCATATTGTGTGGAACATTTTCTGCATATTTAAGTTTTACTATAACAAACACAAAAATTAACACTTAATAGTTACCATGTAATCACAAACTCATTAATCAGCTTAAAATATTGAATTTCCAATGAAACAGTACATCAAATAAAAAAGCATTCAGCACGCAATAACAAGGATTTTAGCACTGTTCCCTGACACAAATATGGTATTTTATTCGACATAAAGGAACTGAGTATTTCGGCACTGAAAATCAGAGTCTTCAGTTTAAGGGATAGACAGGCTCTTTTTTCTAACATTTACTATTACCATATGCTCAAAATGTAGAGTGACATTATCATCACTGTACACCACAACAGCAACATTCACTATCTTATACATCTACGGTGCCTGTTGGGGCATATGGTTTGGATAAGTTGCTTCTTGGCTTGATCACTCCAGAAACTTTCCCAATGAGATTGTCCGTGATATGATGGGAGGTGGTTATCAAGCATGGCAAAAAACCACAGCAGGCAAGCCGTGAATAAACTGGAATTAGTCCGGAATTAGTCCAGGAGAATAAACTGTGTTGCAAGGAATTCTCTATCTGGGATAGAGAATTTCCACTATTGAACCCCTCTTCCAAACTTCAACCATTTGTGGTGCTTCTACATTCTGCTTAATAATTGTGTGGCTGTACAACTCGTGAAAGGCTCCATCAATGTCTTTGAAAGCACTGACCAGGATCCTTGTTTAGAGTTTGCCCCACAATGAAACAGAATAAAATTACTCTGGATTAATTCTCGGTCTCCACTTCCATATACACCTGCACACCTGCCAAATGAATGATTCAGCTGATATAAAAGATCAAGTGGAGATATTTTCTTGTAAAAGGTAATTAATGGATCATACTACTCATTAGGTTGACCTGTATTTCAAGTGGGAAAAGTGAGCTTAAGACCAGACAGCTTTTAAAGGATTTGTTGAGAAGGGCAGAGAGGACATGCTCATACTTTCAATCAATTTTCTCTCTTTGAATTCATATCTCTATACAGCCTCATTATTATTATGGGAATTTTAAAGTATTATTAAGCATACTTTTAGCACAATTTTATATGGTATAGTAGTTTAGAGGGATCCATATATTCCTAGTGATATAGATATAAAGAATAAAGCATAATTGGCATATTTAATTGAAGGGATAATACTTTCAAATCACATTTAAAATTCAGAAGAAAAGTGGAGTATACGTGTAACAGGAATGTTACAAATGTGTATATTATTATTATATTATATTATTATTATTATATTATATATGTTTACCTGCTGGATAAGTCCTAAATATTGATTCAATGATATCTGAAGTCAAATTATATCTTAGTCCATTGCATCCATCTGTTTGAGGTCTAACATCAGCCTACAACATAAAAATATCTTCAAAATGGTTGCCCATCATTTTTGTTAGTTTACAAATACTTCAACAAAAAAGGAAAAAATACAAATACAAGAAAAAAAATAAAGCAAGATATTTATAAAAAATTAGTTCAATCCCATTTTTAAATAACAAATAATGAGCACAAAGAATCATATTTTCCAGTCTTTCCATTGCATTAATGAAGGGTAAATTCAAAAGTTAAGAATACATACATTTTGTCAAGCCACATTTTGATGCTGATACACAACTGTCTTTCCAAGAACATGTATATATTTTTTGTAACATTCCAACCACAAAGATCCAAAGTTCATCACAGACAAATTCTTTATGTTTGGAATATGGTTTAATAATATATCAATACAATTAAATCTTAACTTTTTCCCTTAAAACCTGGCTTACTATATTAAGAATATTCATCCAATATAGAGAAACCACAGGACCTGACTGAATCATGCAGATAAATATGCTTTCAAATCTGTTGGATCAACACAACCAATTTTTTTTAACATCTGTTGAGTGTCCAATCAACCCTAATACATGCATTTGTTTGAGGTGAATGAGTGAGACTGTCTTGTTGCTACTTTAAGGAGCTTTGGTTTGTCCACTGCCTTCATCCCACTCTGCAGACTTTTGTCAGATGTCTTTGGAAGGTGTGACATTGTGTTACTTAAAATGGCAGTTGCTAGGATGGTTTTTAATTATCTGTCCCATCCCTTTCTGCTGTTGCTTCGAGCTTAGTAGAGATGACTGAGACTCTGCTCCTATTTAGTTTAATTGTTGTTCAAATGGAATTATTAGCATTCAGGTATCACGTTTCTCACAAAATAAGACCAGGTCTTTTTTTTTCCCCCTCCAAAAGAGGCACCAGGTCTTATTTTCAGGGGGGGATGTCTTTTCCATTCACCTCACGGCGGCAGCAACGACAACCTCACCTAGCCAGTCCACTTCTTCTGCGGCCAAAGGAGCAGCTTCATTCTGCAGCTGAGAATGGAGCTCCGGCCTGCATTTCGCAGTCACAGGCCTTCTGGAAAGGCCTCTGCAGCCGAGACCTGAGCTATGGATTGAATCCATAGCTTGGTTCTCAGCTACACAGGCCTTCTGGAAAGGCATGTCAGAAGATGGAGCTGAAAGTTGCAAATCATGATCACATGACTACAAGGTATGGCAACGATTGTAAATGTGAGCTAGTTCCCAAGCAGACAAATTACAATCACATGACCACAGGATGGTGGTACTGGAACAATTGTAACTTTGAGGAAATGTTGTAAGTCAGTTTTTCACAGCTTTTGTAATTTCAAACCATCATTAAATGAATGGTTATAAATCAAGGACTATCTGCAATACCTTTTAAAAATTGTACACAATATTCAACATGCTAGGAGTTTCCAAATTTTTTTAAAAAGCATTTTTTTAGTAAAACATTCATTCAGAGATATTACACTAGTTATATTCTTTCTGTAAAGTCCCAGAGGTTTTCAAGTATTACTAACAAGGTGATCTAAAAAAGCAATCCCACTTTCAACCCATACAGTACTTACCAAAAGGTATGAGTTGAATTACAAATAAAATCAGTGATTGAAGAGATATAGGAATCTGCATTTATCCTATTAAAAAACCAAACAAATCAATGAGCATACCAGAAAAGCAGCAGAAATGCCAACATCTTGCTTGCTAGGTGCTGCCGAATTATCCGAAGCATTCATATTTAAACGGTTGGCCCAGAATTCCTCAGCACTAATCACCTGACTTACAACAAGATCTTTATAAAGCTGAAACAAAACAGGATCTTCTTGCAGCATTCTGTGAAAAAGATATTTAAAACTTATTGTTAAGCTTATTAGACATTAAGAAGTAGAGTTTATCAAAGAATCAAATGGTCACATCTTCTGTTCTATAATGAAATTTTCCATGCCTAATTGCAGAGAACATAGATACATTGAAAAAAAAAAGGGTTGTATATTAGCCGGTACAGCAACTCCTGATGCTTAAACTACAATTAGTCTTTATTACTACTGCATAATATTAACAGATTACCCAAAATAGTTTATTTTTAATTGAAGGCTCTTACCGGTTTTTTTCCTCTAGTTCCTTATTGGCTTTCCTCTTGAACTTTGGTAGCAGCTGCTGAAGAAGATCTTTAACTGCATCACGTTCTTTTACTGCTGTACTTTCATTAGAAAAATGGAAGTTAGTTGTGTCTCCTGCATGCAATACCAATTGAAGCTGAATCTTAGCTTTTCCTTCAGGACTGATTTTCTGACCTATAATAAAGAGAACATGTATTACGTAACATCAAACGATTTATTAATCTGCCTTGAAGAAACCACCTTACCCATCACTCCCATTTTTACTGTAAAACTAGTTTTTATGACAATCGCACTTAATTTCCTGAATATCATCCTGAATACTTATTAAACTACAACATAAATCATGTTATGTATTTCAATTAATATAACCAATAGTCAAGTCTGGCCAACTCTTCTATGAAACTGCTACTCTTTAAAGAGCAACATATTAATCCTTTTCTAATTGTTTTTATGCCCCTACATCAGAGATGGCGAACCTTTTAGAGACCGGGTGCCCAAACTGCAACCCAAAACCCACTTATGTATCGTCGGGTGCCGGGTGGGTTTGGCCCATTGGGTGGGCGTGGCTGCGGTGATAACAGCAGACTGGGTGGGACTAAAAAGTTCAATCAATCAATTCCAACTTTGCAAGATCTTTTTTTTTTCCAGCAAGAAGTTGAAATTGACTGATTGATTGAACCTTGGGTTTTTTTGTACATGGCGGTGGAGGTCTAAAGCGAAAAGGTTTTATAAAACCCAGCTGAAGGCCTAGGACTGGGGCAACGGCACGCGTGCCCACAGAGAGGGCTCTGAGTGCCGCCTCTGGCACCCGTGCCATAGGTTCGCCACCACTGCCCTACTTATATGGTCCTAAGTTACAGCCTTTCTCTAGGAGAATATATAGCATTTTCCTAACCAGAAGTGAGCAGGTTATAGGTCGTATAGTCCCAAAATTCTATTTCTTTATTTGATTTTGATTCCACTTTTATTTTTTGCAGTCACTAGAGTCCCAGAAAATGGCACTGCTTCTGGGATAAACAAGTCATACATAAATGGAACAATGGCACCATTCACTTATGTGACATTATCATGGGGCTCAACTATCTTGAAATGGTAACTTTCAGAAGTGCAGCACCCAGTCTTTCTTCTACAGCTCTAACGATTGATGAGTTCTTTAGATAGTCATCCAGTTGCAAACCAAAAAGGCATTTCATTTTTTGCTATAGAAGAGTCATAAATAGCAATGTAAAAAATCAGAATATAACTTTTAGTAAAAAATAAGCAGTGCAATAAACAATGTACACGGAATGACACTTTCACAAAGTATGTCCTGGAGAATGAACCAGGTCACCACATTTTAATTTAATGCTGTATATTAATACAACAAAAACTAAGCACGAAAAGGAGTATGTCCTGTTCTTATTTAGATCCCTCATAAAAGCAAGAAATATTCATTTCTTCTCTGCTAGTACAAATGGGGTTGACTGTGTTTCATGGCAATGCATGATGCAGAAAGCCGTGGCCTGTTTGGAACCAGGCCATGCAAGCAGCGGGTGAGCATGTGTGCAAAGCTCCACTTGCACAAGTGACTGGCACATGCGCGTGAAGCTCCATTTGCACGCACTTGCAAAGAACCATCCCCTCTCCCCTCGTGCCAGGCCACCAAGCCAGAAAGGTTGGGAACGACTGATGTACACCTTCTAAAGCTTCAGAATGAAAGGCAACATATAAATCTAAATAAAAATAAAACTTCCCCCCAAATTAATGTAACTGAAAATCCCAATATTTAGAAAATACGTATGATAAGACAAAAAAAACCCCAAACCCCACTCCAGAAGTTTTCACTTACATTTTATATCTGCATACATATGGCTGATCGTGAACCGGTCTTTGCCATCAGGTGCCCAAGCTATTCTTTCAGCCATGAGATAAAGAGCCCCATCCTGTTTCTTTTGACGCACTTTCTTCACTATTAATAACACTTCTTCGGATGATGTTGCCATGATGACTTTAGGATAGTAAATTAAAAATAATCTTGTTATCTGATTTTCATAGCTAAGTGTTTAAATTTATACTGTGATTCTATACTACTGGTTGCTATTAGTGCATATCATTAAAAAATTAAGAGCAAATACTCCATTTCCATAATTGGAAAAAATTTAATAAATTAAATTAACAAATCACACTAAGTTATAAGGAGCTTTGTTTGCTTTTGGCTTATGATGGTTAAAAGAAGCCATGACTAAGTATTAGGTGTAAACCTAGCCACCAATGTTAAAAAACCATCGACAATGATATTTTATATTTGAGTTGCATGACATTGTAAAAATTTGGATTGTTATTTAAAAGATACTGCATCTATTGTGATGAAACTGCAGACATCAAGCACCGCAATCTGCATAAATGCTGAAAATATTATATTTAAAGGTATAAAGGCATAGATTCCCTCGCTTTTCTGCTACCACAATTCTTCATATATATATATATATATATATGTTTTAAAGAAACCATATTTTTCATTATATTAAATGCTTTCATTCATAGAAGAGATATTTTCATTCTATGCTGCAGTTGATTATAAAAATCTGTTCTCAAAAGTATATTTCAAAGCAGAAGACAATGGGGGCACATGGAGATGGTAATCACAAAAACAGCATGAAATGTGTATGCATCTGGGTATTATTAACTTAACATATTGGACAACATCCAACAAAACATGGGCCATTAAGATAATGGGAGTGCCATTCCTGCAACAGATTATCGTTAGATTTAAACCAGAGGAATGTGCTTTCAGTACCTACCTTTTTAAACACACACACACACACACACACACACACACACACACACATTCAAAAGATGGTATGACCTATAATTAAGACAAAGAATGTCTATCTAATATATGAGTTGATTCATAAATAAACATAGTCCTAAACACAACATAGGCCCAAACATTTCCAAACATAAGCATTACTTCTTTGCTACCAGGTAGAATGTTCTAAAATTTTCATCTGACAAATAAAAATTGTTAATAATTCATCTAGAAGTGAGATTAGATGAATACATATTTCTGTAAGAAATGCATTTCTCCTTCCCCAGTATAACTCCTACTCAAAATATTCCATACAGGGCTATCAACTATATGGAGCACATTGGAAGCTGAACAAAAAATAGGAAAACCAAACCTATTGAATGTTACAATTGGCTTGTAAGTATAATTTGGCTGTATCTAAGAGTTGTAAATGTAGAAGAAAACACACAGAGCTAAATGTTCCTTCCTCTTTATCTTTCCAGGGTTCTCAAAAAAATACACTGTTGTGGGAGGGAGAGAACACACAAAAGTAGGTGTTCTTCAATGGATATACTCAGCTGAATTTCATTAACTTTATCATATCCTTTTGAAAAACAGACCAGCAGCTTTCTCATTTGAACCTGACCATTAAATGTAAACAACTCGCTTGCTAAACACAGGTTAAAATCTGCCTGGACAAACTGAATTGAAGAGAATTTATAAAACTGTTTCTGAAACTGGTAGTTTCATCTTAAGTTCTAATCATTATAGTATATGCAATGAAATCTATCCATGTCTATTATAGCTTGTGAACTACTATGAAGAACAGTTGGTTTCAGGAAAGGTATCAAATTAATTCCACTTGCTTGCAGGGAACTACGTTTTAGTGTGGAGCAAGGAGATAATTTTTTACTCCTTGTTCCCTCAAATTCAGCTAAGTAATTCTGAACATTTTGAAGTTGTAGGGCAATCTTTTTCAGCTGTGATTCAGTGGAACTTTTAGGTTTCACAAAAAGTTATAGGGCAGGCATGTCAAACTCACGATGTCATGTGACATTGCACGACGCATCGCAACTTTTCCCCCATTGCCGACAATGGTATGGGCGTGGTTTCGGCCCGCGGCCCGGCAGTTTGACATGCCTGTTATAGGGGATTCTACAAGAGACTGTTATCAAAGCAGCAAAAATCATAGCTTTGAGTACTTCATGCCCCATGTATTCTATTGCACAGCTATTTAATATCAAGGTACAGAAGACTGCACCACATAGAATGGTAAGAATTTTTTTATATGCCACTCTCAAGTGCTAGCCTGCCACTGTGTTGTTGTTATAAACACTATAAAATGTGGATTGTGTAGGCCAGAAATGAATTTTGGTATGTTTCACTTTTTTTGCTATTTTTATGCAAAAATTCCTTAATATCTAAAAATTCAAGGTTTTCTCCAAGGTAAAAAGATAGAAAAAAGCTACTCAAAAGGGAGATATAGATATATAATACAATATTTTGTGCAGATTTTCCCAAAGGAGACCCCAATACTAGAAAAATATATGCTCTTGCTATCGTCACATGAGAATAATCTCTTCATGCATAGACAGTCCAAACAATTTATGCTTACCTTCTGAAATAGACATATATCCATGTTGCTTTAAAAATATTTATACAAAGCTATTTTTAAGTGGGAATATTTCAGGGAAAGCATTCTTCTAGTAATCATTTACAACAGCATATGTTGTCTCTGAGTCAGAATTTTAGAAGTAAAATTTTGGATGCTAGTAAAGCATGCACAGAATTGTCTGCATTTTCTTTCTGATACAGGTGAAGAAACATTTATCCAAAGGAGAGGCTAATACTGCTGTAATGTTTCAAACATCTTTATAACTGCTTTTATTCTCTATATTGTTTTATTGTATCTTGTATAATATCTATCAAATGTTTAACTGTTTGAATATTATAAATTGCTTTGAGATTTTAAATGGGAAGAGGCTTTTTAAGTGGAAGTGGCATTTAAAGATAGCTTTAAGTAAATAAACAATACATAACTTCTAACTAATATTAATTAATATTAATATATTCACTTATGGATCTATATTAACTATAATCAATTTTTATAATCAAAAATTTACAAAGATGAATTAATGAAATACATTTTATTTCACAGAAATTCATCAGGGAGCAAACATTATTGTAGAATTATTTTTTGCTATAAGTAAATGATTTACACATTCTTATTCTTTACACCAAATAGAGAAAAAAAAAATCAACATGCTATCATATCCATAATATCATATATCATCCAAGAAAATTCCTCCCCAGGCCAGTAAAAGTACACATCCTATCACTATGAGTAGAGAATTACTGGAGAAGAAAAATGCTGCAAACTTTACAACTAAATAGACTCCTCATACACAAACCAACATTTGGAGATCCTTAACTGCTCTGAATTAAACAATCCTGTAATACAGCAGCCAAATATATTTTTAAACCAAGTACAGATTGATTTCTTACTTTTTAAAGAATGTATTACTAGCAAGGAGATTCAGTGCCCTAGTTCATAAAGTGCATTAGTTAACCACAGTTTATAAAGCAATTGTTACAAAATGTATTGTTATAAACAGACCTAGCATGATGGTGTTTCTTTGTATACATTTTTTTATCCATGGCCCAAACCCTGTTATCTAATTCTAGATACATTTTTTTAAAGTCAGTGCACCTGTAAAACAATAATTCCACTCCCACTTCTTGAACATCACGCTAGCAGTGTTTCTCAACCTTGACCATTTTAAGGCACGTGGACTTCAACTCCCAGAATTCCACAGCCAGCAATGCTGGCTGTGGAATTCTGGGAGTTGAAGTCCACATGCCTTAAAATGGTCAAGGTTGAGAAACACTGTGCTAGCAAATCCTTTCCTTGCTCTTACTGAAACAATTCCGGAGAGTAAGACTTGCTACACCTTTTCCCTCAAGGGTCAGATAAAGAAAAGAAACCCAGAACAAGAAAGGAAAAGGCTGCATAGAAACTTGTCTTCCATTAAGACCTCATTTCCCATTAATGGCAAAAAAAAACAAAGGCATTCCACTTAGAAAGAAACATTCGGCGAGGTAATGAAAAATTTCCCAGGAGCAAGAAAGAAGGTAGAGAAGAAGGAGTGGGGATGCAGTGAAAGGGGAAACGGGCGAGCAACACCAAAAGTCATGTGCATGTATTCATTTCATTCAAAGTATCTTATATATAAGAATGTAAAAAAGAATGTATGTCAGTGGTTCTCAACCTGTGGGTCGGGACCCCATTTGGGGTCGATCGACCATTTCATGGGGGTCGCCAAGCAAGGCTGTCCGCCATTTTTTTTGTCCGCCATTTTTCCCCCTTTCCCAGCGGGTGCCTTACCTCCCTTGGGCTGGTCCAGCTGGTGGCTGGTCCAGCTGGTCCGTCTCTGCCACTTGCCAGCTACGCCTCGGCCGGCGCAGGGGGCGGAACCACGCATGTGCGGTGCTCCCGGGCAGGGAAAGTCCTCGACTTATGACCGGTTGGGTAGTCCTCGACTTACGACCGGTTTAGTCCTCGACTTACGACCGGTTTAGTCCTCGACTTACGACCGGTTTAGTCTTCGACTTACGACCGGTTGGGGTCACGGCATTAAAAAGGTTGAGAACCACTGATGTATGTTAATATCTGATAAATATCACGGTATATGTATGGGGGAGAGTTTGGAAAAATAAAAAATAAATTAAAAAATTTTTTTTTCCCAGGAGCAGAGGAAAAAGCGGGGCGAATGAAAAAAAAAACAAAAAACCGCTCCCTCCTACATCAACCGCATTGCCACCTGCTTCGTTAAGGTTCATAATGCCCACTCATGCAAAGGAAGAGCCTGAGGAGGAATCGGGAAGGAAGAGGGACTCTCACGTAAAAGAGACTAACTTGCTTCACGACCCCCATCCCCAACCTTCACGCTAGGCGAAAGCGAGGTGGGCCCCAGACCCGGGACCGTTGAAATAAAGTCATATTAACGACATACCGTTAGGGTGACTATACTGGGTTTGTGCTCTCCCCGCCGGCTCCTCCGTTTCTGCTCCCCACACGGAAACCCCACCCCCCCAAAAAAAAAAACTTCGAAGGAAAGACGGTCCTAAGCTTCAACTCCGTTCCGTTCACAGCTTGTAAAAAAACTCCGCGGTCGTCGCCGCCGCCACCGCCGCCTCCACCGGGGCCATGGGGCGGCCAGGAGCACGGCGAGGGAGCACGTGACCGGAAAGCGCCAGCCCACGCAGGGCAGGAAGACCGCGTCACGTGACGGGCCGCGCCGCCATGACACTTACCCCCCTCACGTGACGACACCTGTCGCTCCCCAGGCCCCTTTGCTGGTCACGTAACGGTCTCTTTTGCATCGCCGCCGCCATGACAGCCTTCCGGGAAAAGGAGGAAAAAAAAATAAAATAAATAAAAGGGTTGGGGTGGGTGACAAGAGAGTAACAGCGCGGTCGCTCCCGCCTCATTCCTTACGAGCCTTTGGGCGAGTCCCGTAAAAACGGAGGGCCTTCCTTGTTTTGCTTCTCGGCCTTTCCTCTCCGGGTCCATCGGATGGATCCATTCTCGGGTGCCGGCGCCTCACTGAGGGGGGAGGGGGCATCCTTCCTGAGCCAGGGTTCGAAATGGGGGGGGGGGGAGAGCAGCAGCGAGGGGAGGGGCAAACGCGCGGCGGTCACGTGACGCGGATTGCGCTGGAAGGGGCGGCTGTCAAATGACGCAGGTCTCGGCGAGGGGCGGGTTTGAAGGAGGTTCTTAGGTGGGAAGAGAGAGAGAGAGAGAGAGCGAGCGAGCGAGCGAGCGAGAGCCGGGCGCTCGCGCTGTCACGCGCCGGGGCTTCTATCGAGAGGCGGGGCTGTGGAGCGGCAGAGAGCTTCGAGTCGCCGAGGAGGGCGCATCGTTGCGTTCGGCTGCCGCGGGCTCCGGTCTTTCCATCCCAAGGCTCTGGCACGGTTGCCTGCTCTGTTTCTATTGGAAGAGAGTTTTAAAAGAAAACGGCGGCTTGGTCTTCAGGAGCGGCGAATCCTTTGAAATCAATCCGGACTGCTCCTTTTCAAGGGCTTTTCTGCTCGGGCTCCATGTTATATCGGTAGACTGTCACAGATAGGTATTGGGGGGCTGGGGGGAGAAATGCGTGTAGTTCAGAGCTTCCCAACCAGGGCTGCGAGGCGATATTCCAGGGGGTGCCAAAACGTGGGTTTTCGAAATTTCTAGTTATATACCTAATGCGTTGCCATTGTTTTGAACTGTTGTAAGGGGGTGCGAGAATATATCAGAAGCGTTTTAGGGGTGCCGGGTATCGAAAAGGTGTAGTTGAAGCCGTTTCTCCCCCATTTGATCTCTCTCTCTCTCTCTTTTTTTTTTGTATGAATCCTTTAGGGCAGGGGTTCTCAACCTTGGCAACTTTAAGACTTGTGCACTTCAACTCCCAGAATTCCTCAGCCAGCTTTGCTGGCTGAGGAATTCTGGGAGTTGAAGTGCACAAGTCTTAAAGTTGCCAAGGTTGAGAACCCCTGCTTTAGGGAAAGTGTTGTCTCCGCGGGGTGTGTGTGTGTGTGTGTGCAGAAGCCGATTGGGACCGCCTATTAAAAAAAAAGCCCTGCTTTTAATTTGCTCCAATTATAGCTGTTATAGCGCGGAGCTCTCTTGATTGATTTGCACGAAAGGAGGTTTTGCAACACGGAGCCGCGTCTTCGATTCTTAAGCGATTGTCAGACCTACTATGTATGTCTGCAGTTATGTATTTGAGAGTGTCTTGGGCTATTCTGCGAAAGAATAGCCCCCTAAGAAGAGAGAAGTCAACTCGGCAGGGTACTCAAATGACAGGGGTGTCGTTATATATAAAGCCACTATTTAGTTAGCTAGGCTTTTAGATAAGGAAGTAATTTTCTGTAAAAAAAAAAACCACCCCAAAACCCTACAAAGCAGGTTTCTATATTTTTGTGTGTGAATTGTATTTTGATTCATCTAATGATAAAAGTTTATAAGGTGAACGATACTCTTGTTCTGGAACACACGCTGACTTAGAGAAAGGCTTTGGAAGTGGAGTTAGGTGTAACTTTGTTCAACGCAAGGGGATGGAAGAAAAATGTAATGCATGGAAAGCATTCTCGCAGTACATTAGCCACGATGAAGACAGATTGTGGTTTAAGTTGAGAGTTTTAATCGCATTTTGAAACCATAGCTTGCAATATTTATCTCAACCCTGGCTCTGGTCATTTCTCTGGAAACGCTGGAGGGTTAGTGATTTAACTTGTACTTTCAGTTCCTGGATATAGAATGATGGAGCAATAGCAAAATCCTCTGTAGTTCCTAAGTCATTCTGCATCTCCTGTATTTTTTTCTTCCTGTTCCTCCACTCAAATTAGTGCCAAGAGAAGAGTTAATTGTGTCCCCTGATTAAGCCACCTTATGATGAAAGTGCTTTATATAAAAACTAAACAGTTGGGAAAGAACCACCAAACACTGTAAATGTACTTGGAAACACAGGAAAAAAACAGACCAGTGGTGGCGAACCTATGGCACGCGGGCCAGAGGCGGCACTCAGAGCCCTCTCTGTGGGCACGCGCGCCATGTCCTGGAGATAGCAACCGTCCCTCTTCAACCAGCCGCTAACTCGCCGAGGTCCCACATGGCTGGATGCATCCCAGCACCCATGCGCTCGCTGGCCTGTGTGTGCAGGGGCCGATGGTATCAGGCAGCAGCCGCCCCGGTCCCTGCCTCACCTTGCCCTGTGACAATGGCAACCCGCCCTGCCTCGCCTCTCCCTGCAGGACGAGCCTCCTGCCCACCGCCCCACCTGCCAGAGACCCCCTGGATCTCCCCCAACCCTGCCCGGCCCCCATAGGCGTCCCTCCCCACGAGCAACATTGAGGTGATCACGCCCACCTTGGCCACACCCACCCAGTCTGCCATGACTACCCCAGCCACGCCCACCTGGCACCCGGCGATAAATAAGTGGGTTTTGGGTTGCAGTTTGGGCACTCGGTCTCTAAAAGGTTCGCCATCACTGAAATAGACTGTTCGGTGCCCCATCTATAAGTCTCTTGTATGATATTCTAAACCACAGTTAGGGATTTATATGAATACAAGTAGTCCTGAGCCCAAAATTTCTGTTGCTAAGCAAGGCAGATAAAAATGAGTTTTACCCCATTTTATGATCTTTTTTTGCCACAGTTAAGCAAATCACTGCAGCTAAGTGAATTTTGTCGTAGTTAAGTGAATCTGGCTTCCCGCATTGACTTTGGCTTGTCGGAAGCCAACTGGGAAGGTTACAAATAGTGATCACATGACCCCAGGACAGTGCAACTGTTATAAATATATGTCAGTTACCAATCGCCCAAATTTTGACACCTGACTCTGGAGATGCTGCATTGGTTTTAAGTATGTAAACTGGTCATAAGTTAGTTTTTTCAGTGCTGTTGTAACTTTAAACAATCACTAAATGAATGGTTGTAAGCTCCCATGTAATTTGCTAACAAGTACAAATGTGATATACTAGAGTGCAAAGAATAAAATAAAACTCCCCAATGGCACAAGGAAAATAGGTGTTCAAGAGGCAATTGGTCTTGCCATAATCTGACAAGTTTATGTTATCTTCCTGAAGTTGATTATTTATTTATTTATTTATTTATTTATTTATTTATTTATTTATTTATTAAATTTATATACCGCCCTATCTCCCTTACGGGACTCAGGGCGGTGAACAGGCGATACTAAAAACCACAATAATAAATAAATAGTTTCTGTGCTTATCTCTGGCTTAGGACAATGTATATGTATTACAGCTTGTAAAATATAGGTTTTAGCTTAGCTCACTATGTTACAGTAAATTATTGCAGTTTGTGGAGCAAAATATAGGTTAGCACAGATAAACTAGGTCAGTGATGGCAAACCTTTTAGAGACCGAGTGCCCCAAAACTGGCCCCGCCCCCTGCTCCACCCCTTGCCCCGCCCCCTGCTCCACCCCCATCTCCCGACCCGCCTCCAGGGCCCGCCGCAGATCGCCCAGGCAGCCCAGCAGTGCTATGGCGGTCACGCCCTCTGCCCACACCCTGCAGCATCAACTGTGCACGACGGGGTGTGAGGGCAGAGTCTTTTCTACGCTGTCTGGCTGCCATGTCCTTGGCTGCGGTGCTCCGTGTGGGCCACACTCAGGGGTGACTCTCCTGAGGCTGGGGCAACGGCACATGTGCCCACAGAGAGGGCTCTGAGTGCTGCCTCTGGCACCCATGCCATAGGTTCGCCACCACTGAACTAGGTTAACATATCTGCCATCTGGATGTTGGGCATTTTACACGTTGAGTATCAAAACTGTAAGTTTAGGAAGCCAAATTAACAGTTTGAAATCATATTTCAGATTTGTCCTTACAGGAGGAGTAGAAAAATGAAGCAATAACATTTCGTGAGAGGCCATTATCATGGCAGCGATACCTGAATCTTGCAGCCATGTTTTGGCAGAGTTTGAATGCCTTAGTCCCCTGCTTTCTGCTCTCAGGCTGGATTCCAGTCGCCTGAAGGTATGTTTCAGTCACAACCATTCTTCTGTCTTTTCTCCCTTTTTGATTGTAGTTTGACATCCTATATATCAATAATGTATAATACATTATAATGCAACATTTATAGTTGCTGGTTTATTGTTTGTAATCATGCTAGTTGGTGTGCAACAAACAGTTTTGGACAAATAAAAGTAAAAAGCAAATTATAAAAATGGATAACAATGGAATTAAAGAGTGTAATTGCAAACTGCCGGAGGAAGTGAAAGTGTAATATTTTGCTCAGATATAACATCTGTAGTTTAGCCAGATTAAATGTTGCTTCCTGTTTCATTGTTCAGCTATGTATTTGATTAATGGTCAGCCAAAATATTTTGAAAATTAGTTTCACTTTTTATTAGGACTTCTCAAAACATGGTTACAGATAGTCCTCAACTTATGACCAAAATAGACTGCTGGGTGCCCCATGTGTAAGCCTCTTGTATGTAGTTATTCTAAACCACAGGTAGGG